ACCCGAGGTCCACCGGTGCACGGGACGACGGTCTAACCACTGAACACACAAGGCAGGGCTAAGCTATTGTTTTGTTCTATGTTAAAAGTGGCACTCTTGGGTAAAAGTTGGTTTAACTTTTTCATTTTTAACAAACTGATCTCTAAAAGAAAAAAACAAATGGTACCGGCTTTAAGTATCCCCAGCATTCCCCATACAGGTTTGGAAGCCAAACTGGGTATCACTTACAAACTCTAGCCACTTTGACTATCAGCAGATTAAATTATCCAGCATAAAGTGGAATGAACACTTCTTGGGGATTGAGGAGATGTGAGCATCACACGTGCTCACAGAGCTGTAGAAAGGGAAAACATCTCAGCAAGGTGGCATTTGTATAATTAGCCATGCCATTCCTGGCATTCCAGGAAGAGACGGACCTGGAAGGGGACGCTCACCTCCAGACACCCTGCCCCCGACCCCAAGCTGCGCTGTTCCCACTTCTGACTTAGTAGTATTTACTGTTACTGTGTGTTCGGACTTAAGCATCAGTTTATTTACCACACGTATTTGTTTTCACTGTGTCTGCGCACAGACGTTCTCAAACATGCAGTATACAGTTGATCGGAGTTCCACGTCCCCAGTCTCAGCCCACAACCCGACACCTGGCACACAGGTGAAAGGGCATGCGCCACTGAATTATAACGGAAGGAGAGGTGTTGCCAGGATCAATAGATAATGACACCTGCTTCTATAAATGGGCTGTAATTGCTCAAGAGGGAAAAGGACGACCCTTGCCCACCACCCCCTTTCTTTCTTCCCTTCTCCCTTCAGGAACTCAGACTGTTGAGGATTCCGTTTTTTCTTACCAGCCTCTGCGTGGAGTGTCTCAGCCGATGACATTGGCAAGGACGCATAGTTTTCTTCAGGCTCATAAATCTCAGGCACTGGTGAAGGCTCCCTAGAATTGGATGGTTCGGAGCAGGGCAGGCTTTGGGGATAAGCCGAATCCACACTCATGTTGCTGGATTGGAGGAGAGAGAAAAAAAACACCAAAGAGCTAGATTGTAAGAAAGACCCAGGCTTCAGTATTTAGCTAGAAGAGCATAGAGAAATATGAAAATCTCCAGATGTAAAAGTACCAAAAAGAGGGGAGGAAATGGGTCAGCTTTGCAGGGACAGGACCCAACCGGTCAATTTTGCAAAAAGATGAAAAATCTGAAGGCTCCCGATTTATAAAGGAGGCTCAACCAAATTTAGGCCCGCCCTCTTCTGGCAGCCCCACACCCACACACACCCTTGCGAATTCTCGGTTAATCCTGTCTGCCAGGCTCACCAAGGCCATTGTAATGCAAAAGGTAGCTGCAGAGTAACCCAGACTGGGAGGGGAAGGAGAAAACTGGGGCCACCGGTGCAACGAACCCAGCAATCATATATTTCTGGATTCATCACGTTTCCACCTTTTAAAATCAAGGATGCACCTCCAGCTCCTGAGGCTCATACCTCAGGTGAATGGAACTCCCACCAGGAGAATTAATTCCTTGATCTTTAGACGCCTAGAAATCGGGCTTGATATGCAGAAGCTTCCACTGGCTCCAGTTTCCTCTTTGACTCACCCTGAGGTCACAATAAAACACACATTGTGTGTTAAATGGATGGCAAAAATAGCACTTTGTTTTCAACTTCCACTGAAGTTGCTTCTTGTTTTTTAGCTTTCAGAAAGACGAGTTAGTCCTTCCAAATGGGGTGTTGTCTGGTTCTCACCGAAAGCCAGAGGAGAGAAGCGGCAAACGGCTAAGGCTCTTTGGTGACCTGTTAGTAATTATGCGCGTACTATTACCAGGGAAGATTTTACCTTTGTGTACACGCGTTACTGGATAGAATCCTGGTTCAGCCACTTTAAAAAGGCTCAGTTTCCTCATCCATCAATAGGGACAAAAGTACCTTCTCTGTTGCTGTAAGAATTAAAAGTGCTAAACGGTGGCTGCTAATGGAAATTGCACCAGGATCCTGTGCCCATGACCTTCAAGATTGAAATTACCTTTTGTAGTGATTTTTATTTAAATCCAGTGGCAAGGTGATAGAATGAAAGCACCACCTTTTAATTTTGCCCGGGGAATTACTCGATGTAAAATAATGAGATGTATTGACCACCCCAATTGGAAGGAGTTAAAGAAGGACAATCTGTAGGCAAATGATATTCCTATCGTGGACTTGCCGAAGTGTTTGTGATAGGTTCCTTTTAGACTCAATGGTTGCCCTCCTGTCTACCCCTTTTCCCCAGACAGTCATCATTTTCGGGCTTTCCCCTCCCCTCCGCTGGGTCCTTCTTTAGTCAGCTTTTTCTCCTCTGGCCTGGCAATCGGGTCATGTCCTCCAACCCACACTCCTTCCCCACACGGTGCTTTTTGGTATGCCTTCCGAAGGGACAGTCTTTAGAGTTGGGTTCCAGCACTAATATATTTATGACAACGATAATAACACTCTACAGCAGCGGTTCTCAACCTGTGGGTCGCGACCCTTTCGCGGTCGAGCGACACTTTCACAGGGGTCGCCTAAGACCATCCTGCATATCAGATATTTACATTACGATTCATAACAGTAGCAACATTACAGTTATGAAGTAGCAACGAAAATAATTTTATGGTTGGGCCACAACATGAGGAACTGTATTTAAAGGGCCAGAAGGTTGAGAACCACTGGTCTACAGCTTTCAATTTTCCTCCCCATTTCCAAACTCAACATCCAAGAAATTTAAGATTTCTCCCCCTTTTTCAACCTCCCACCCCTACAATAAACCCTTAGCAAATCGCAAGCATATATTTTCCTAAAATACAACTCTTGACTAATTGCCCCATGCACTCTGCTACTTGGGTCTCCACCTATAGCTGCTGGCTCTGCGCCTGTGCAAGCTGGGTGTGGTTTTTTTTCCCCACAATTCAAAGATGCTAACTTGTGAACCTAAGAATATTGCCGGGTCCAAGCAAGGGGGTGGAAATTCTATGTAACCTTTTCTTTGTCTTTGCAGACCACCATTCTGGAGCAGGAGGGTCTGGCATAGGGGAGTCAAGTGCAGGGTGGGTAGAAAGACAGGGTGCTTCAGGCAGATAGCCTCTGTCTCATTAGAAAAAGGATAGGATTTCTTTAAAAGGGAGAATGCGAGGTAATGGATGTTAACTAAACTTATTGTGGTAATCATTTCGTGACATGTACATATATCAAATTCTTATATTGTAAACCTTAAACTAATTCAATGTTATATGTCAGTTTACATCTCAATAAAACGGGGGGGGGGGGGAATAAATAAAGAGGAGCACCTGACTTCCTGGCTCTCAATTAGCAGTTTGGCAAACGAGAGCGATCAAGGTCACCAGGCTTCGTTTTCCCGCAGCTCTCTAAACTGCGGGTACCAGCAGCTTTAAAGTTCTTTGCTGATGGGGGTCTCTGCATGAAAGCCCGGGACAAATTCACCCCACCCCCCCGACCCGTGTCCCATTGTATCTAGTGGAAGAGCCTCCGGAATGAAAAACACAAAGGGAGGGGTGGTAGCTAGAAGGCAGACTTACTGCATTCTTTGCCCAGGAAAGCAATTTGAATAAAGCCGAGAATGCTTCAGAAGCTGTCGGAGACCTTGGTTTTGTTTGGGTAGACTGTATGGGTGGGGGAGGGGTGTGTTATAATGTGCTAGAGTCCACGGCTGCAAATGTAAGTGATTCAATGAAACCCTTATTTTAGGTTTTATAGGCACACGTCGCAAATAATGTGGGTTCCATTCCAGACCACCACAATGAAACAAATGCCACAATAACACGAGTTACACACATTTTTTGGTTTCTCAGTGCGCATAAATGTTACATTTACTCCATTGTCACCTATTAAGTGTGCAATAACGTTGCAGTGTACATACATTAATTTAAAAATGCATTTTGCTAACAATGTTAACCATCATCTGAGTGTTCAGCGAGTCATAATCTATTTTTTTAATTCTCTTAAATTTTATTTTTTTATTGAAGTAACATTGTTTACAACATTATACACGTTTCGGGTTTTCAACATTAAAATTGAACATCTATGTGGTCTACATCATGCTCACTATCAAAAGTCTAGTTTCCAGCCATCACCATACAATTGAGCCTCTTTATCCTATTTCTTCTTGTTTACATTATTTCATTCCACCTACTAAGCTCATTCAATAAGTGACTAACAGTTCCTGGTTGATATATATGCATATATATATATATATATATATATATATATATATATATATATATATATTGTAATTTAACAAACATCTATTGGCCAGGAAGTATTTATTTATTTATTGCTCATTTTTTGAAATTACTAATATAGTAGAGAGACCCAAGAAGTAAAGAAGTGACCAGGAGTAAAAAAAATATCTGTAAGTCTTTAATTGAATCTCCTCTTGTAATTAGTTTGCACTGTTCTGATGTTCCTCCTACTAACCTGGTGGTTCTCTCTCATTTTCCTTTCTGGTTCTTCCTTATCCCCGGTATACTGGAAAGCTTATTTCTCAAACCTCTTTTCTATTTACATACACTACATTGGTGATCTCATTCTGCCATAGAACTTTAAATGCTTTTGACTTTCTATATGCTTCTGACTTTAAATGCTTTTGATTTTCTATATGGTTTGACATCTATATGCTTTTGACTTTCAAATGTATATCTTTATCACAGAACTATTCCCCTATCTCAAGTTTCATACATCCAACTTCTTACTTTGTTGCAGAAGACCAAAGAAATACCAAGCACGCTTCCTAGAGAAAGGGAGGGACACCGTTTATTAACACTAGTGGACTCCGGGAATGATTTCCAAATCAGAGTGAAGTAACATGCAGAGGGCTTCACTTTTTATAACCTTCTGGGGGCTTTGTCTTGCAGATATCGTTCCACCCCCTTTTGTGGGCTTACTGGCTCCCCCCCCCCAATCCCACCCCCACCCCCACCCCTACCCCCCGCCACTTTGTCCCATAAGCTTCTTTTAGTCTTATGGAGCAATGACCACGGGATGTTATGGTGAACAGGGGTGACGACCGCTCTTAGCTACTTCCTGCTGGAAAGGGACGATGACCAAGGGGTTAGCATCCCGCTTCTTCCTCTCAGAGGGGTTTGTAGGGAGTTCTTCTGGTTTCAGGCAGGCAGAGGTAAGCAGTGGTCACACAGGCATAGAATGTTCCTGCAGGAGGAATCAGGGGTAGGTGGTGTTTTCAGCCTTGGGGGTATAGTTGCATAGTTCATCTGGAAGGTGACCTGTTGGATGTTGGCCCTGCATACTGCTGAAACAAATAGGAGCAATATCAGTTAGCTGCACATTGGCTGTGACAGGTCCTATCCAATACAATACCCCCCACCCCCCACACCACAAGCATTTGGTAGTAGAGTCATAACATGCCGCAGGCTGATAAGTATAGCTAACAAAAATCTGGCTTGATTGGGTTTTCTCGTGGACTACCTGGACTAGCATATTTGAGTAGTGAGTTTCTAAGCAAGGAGCAAAGGATGGCATGACAAGGTGTAGTCCAACAATTTATGATAAGGCCTTTGTTTCCTTGCTGTGTGTGGAGCAGTAATTTTATGGTGCTTTTGTGTCCCAGCAAGAGCAGATGAGTTCTCCTCCTGGTACTAGTCTTGGAATCCACTGGCACTCATAAAAAGACAAAATAAGAATTATTAGATAAAACCAGTGATTATCCAGAAATACTAGAGCATGATACGTTAGGTGATAAGAAAGAAAGATTAGTGTTAGGGAGAATTCAGCAGGGTGTTATCTGAATTCCTTGGAGCAGGTTGCTCAGCCAGGTCTGCTGTCTTCTTGAGGGTGATCTCCAGGGGGTGTTTCTGGTCAGAGGTCACCTTCCACTCAGACTGGATGTCACTCGGCTGGTCTGCCTTCACCCGGGAGTGGTGGATCCAGGTGTTTAGTCCTGCAACCTTAAGAGCTGAGGGGGTGGTTAATATGACTGGATAGGGTCCCTTCCAGGTAGGCTTGAGGGGCTCCTTTTCACAATCCTTTACCCAAAACTGGTCTCCAGGTTTATAAGGATGTACAGCTGTTCCTAGAGAGATGAGTAGTTGGTCAATAACCCACCTGTGGACCTCAAAGACAGTTTTCCAAGTCCTGTAGTTGTTTCTGGATTTCTAAGTTCTCTATTTTCCCCAAATCTTCCTTTGGGAGAATTAAGGGAGGGGGTCTACCATATAGAATTTCAAAGGGAGAGAAACCTACCCTGGCCCTTGGTGCACAGCATACCCACAGGAGTACAAGAGGCAAGATATCTGTCCAGGGAAAGGTTGTCTCTTGGCATAGCTTAGCCATAGGCTGCTTTAGAGTCCAGTTCATGCACTCACCTTCCCTGAACTCTGAAGCCTGTAAGCTGTATATAGATTCCATTTAATTCCTAAAGCTTTGGCTACCTGTTGTACTATTTCTGCTAAAAAGGCTGGGCCATTATCAGACCCTGTGGTCAGAGGCATTCCATACCGTGGAATTATATCCTTCAGCAATGCCTTAGTGAATTCTCTCACCTTTTCAGTGCAAGTGTGATATGCCTCGACCAACCTGAAAAGGTGCAAACACAGACTAGCAGGTATTTACTCCCTCTGCTAGGCCCTATTTCTGTAAAATCTACTTCTAACTCCTCAAAAGGAGCTTGCCCACAGCACTGGACTCCTATCGGTCCCACAGGACCCTGTTTAGCATTGTTCTGAGCACAGAGGAGGCAACGCTGAGAGACTGAAGCACACAAGGAGGGTAGATGGGCAATTAGGTAGTACCTGCCTCACAAAGCTTCTAGGGCAGCGTTTCCTAAATGAGTGAGTCCATGCTGCTGGAGGACTACCTGATGGGCTAACTGTTCTGGGATATAGACCCTATGCTCTGAGAGTGTCCACCAGCCTTCCATTGTTCTCTTGCTCCCTTCTTTCTGGGCCCATTTCTCTTCCTGAGGAGTGTATTTTGGGGGTTCAGGTAATTCGGGGGCCAAGATGATCCATGCTGGTGCTGCTTGTTCTTTAGCAGCCAGCTTGGCTGTGGCATTGGCATGCTGGTTTCCTTCTGATACTGAGTCTTTCCCTTCCTGGTGGCCTTTGCAATGGATGACGGCTATTTCCTTAGATTCCCAGACTGCTTCTAGTAACTTTAAAATCTCATTCTGATTTTTGATTCCTTTTCCTCCTGCTGTCAAGTGTCCCTTTCCTTATAAATGGCCCCATGGACATGCAAGGTAGCAAAGGCATAGCGCGAGTCAGTGTAGATGTTGACCTGCTTATTCTTACTGAGTGCTAGGACTCTTACCCTAAGGGCCCAGAGTTCTGCCTCTGCACTGATCATCCTTCAGGTAGGACTTGTGCTTCAGTTGTCTCAAAGTTTGATACCACTGCATATCCGGCTCGTCTTTTTCCTCCATCTAAGAAGCTGCTGCCGTCTGTGAACAATACCAAGTCCGCGTTTTGCAGGGGTCTATCCTTTAGGTCTGGCTGGCTGGAATAAACCTTCTCTAGGACTTCTAGGCAATCATGCTCAGGGGCCCCCTCAGCAATGGGTAGAAAGGTGGCAGGATTAAGTGTTCTCACTGCTTCTAATCATACCCGAGGATTCTCACATAACAACTCTTGATACTGAGTCATTCAAGCATAAGTCAGCCAGTGCTGCAGCCTTGCTTCCATCAGGGTGACAACAGCATGAGGTACTTTTACATTTAAGTTTTGTCCTAAGGTAAGCTTATCCGCTTCCTTGACTAATAATGCCGTGGCCACAAGGGCCCTGAGGCACAGGGGCCACCTGGAGGCAACTGGGTCAATCTGCTTGGAGAGATAGGCTACTGGTCTTTGCCAGGGTCCAAACTCCTGGGTTAGAACTCCTAGGAATACCCCACTATTCTTTAGAACAAAAAGATTAAAGTCTCACATCACATCTGGTAGCCTTATTGTTAGGGCTTCAGTGAGTTTTGCCTTTATGGTGACAAAGGCTTTCTCGTGTTTGAAACCCCAGTCAATGGGTGCCTTCTCTTCTCCTCTTAAAGCTTCATAGAGAGGCTTGGCCAGGTCTGAAAACCCTGGGATTCAAATTCAACAGAATCTGGCCGCTCCCAGGAATTCCCGAATCTGCTGTCAGGTGCCTGCTTCCTTTCAGTCCCTAGCCTTCGTTTCCCTTAGATGATCCGGAAGCCTAGATACTTGACTTCTTTCTGAGAAATCTGTGCCTTTTTCTTAAACACCCGATAACCTGTTTCAGTTAGTAGTCTCAGAAGGGCTTGTGTTCTCTCCCAGCACTGAGCTTGTGTGGAGCTGGCCCTTAGGAGGTCCTCTACATACTGGAGTAGAACATGCCCCAAGTCCTGTCCTGGGAACTTAGATCAGATGCTAGTGCTCCACTAAAAAGAGTAGGGGAGTTCTTGACAGAAGTTCTTCCACTGCAGACACAGCTGATTCTCACAGCCAATTGGCCTGGAGGTCAATTCCTCCCAGTGATACCTACAACAATCAAGGCTTAACTACAACAAAACTGCGCACAAAGCCCACAAAGGGGTGCACCAAGAGTGTCCACCTCAGGTAATTGGGGAGGCTGAGCCACTGGGCCTTATAGGACACCTAGCACACAAAGCCACTCTATCAACACAGGGAAGCAGCCAAAATGCAGAGACAAAGAAACAGGTCACAAATGACAGAAATGGAGGAAAGCAAACTCCTGGATATAGAGTTCAAAACCACACTTTTAAGGTTTTTCAAGAATTCTCTAGAAATCGCCGATAAACTTAGTGAGACCCTCAAGAAATCTAGTGAGACCCTTGAGGTTATGAAAAAGGACCAACTAGAAATTAAGCATACACTGACTGAAATAAAGAATATTATACAGAGTTCCAATAGCAGACTAGAAGATCGCAAGAATCAAGTCAAAGATTTGAAATATGAAGAAGCAAAAAACACCCAACCAGAAAAACAAAAAGAAAAAAGAATCCAAAAATATGAAGATAGTGTAAAGAGCCTCTGGGACAACTTCAAGTGTACCAACATCCAAATTATGGGGGGTACCAGAAGAGAGAGAGCAAGATATTGAAAACCTATTTGGAGAAATAATGACAGAAAACTTCCTCTACCTGGTGAAAGAAATAGACTTACAAGTCCAGGAAGCGCAGAGATCCTCAATAAAAGGAATCCAGCCAAAACCGGTTTGGCTCAGTGGATAGAGCGTCGGCTTGCGGACTGAAAGGTCCCAGGTTCGATTCCGGTCAAGGGCATGTACCTGGGTTGCGGGCACATCCCCGGTAGGAGATGTGCAGGAGGCAGCTGATCGATGTTTCTCTCTCATCGATGTTTCTAACTCTCTATCTCTCTCCCTTCCTTTCTGTAAAAAATCAATAAATATATTAAAAAAAAAAAGGAATCCAAAGAGGACCACACCAAGACACATCATAATTAAAATGCCAAGAGCAAAAGACAAAGAGAGAATCTTAAAAGCAGCAAGAGAAAAACAGTTAGTTACCTACAAGGGAGTATCCATACGACTGTCAGCTGATTTCTCAACAGAAACTATGCAGGCCAGAAGAGAGTGGCAAGAAATATTCAAAGTGATGAATGCCAAGAACCTACAACCAAGATTACTTTATCCAGCAAAGCTATCATTCAGAATTGAAGATCAGATAAAGAGCTTCACAGGTAAGAAAAAGCTAAAGGAGTTCATCACCACCAAACCAGTATTATATGAAATGCTGAAAGGTATCCTTTAAGAAGAGGAAGAAGAAGAAAAAGGTAAAGATACAAATTATGAACAACAAATACATATCTATGAACAAGTGAACCTAAAAATCAAGTGAATAAATAATCTGATGAACAGAATAAACTGGTGAATATAATGGAATCAGGGGCATAGAAAGGGAGTGGACTGACTATTCTCGGGTGGGGAGAAAGGGGTGTGGGGGGTCCGGGAAGAGACTGGACAAAAATCATACACCTATGGATGAGGACAGTGGGGGGGGGGGGGGGGTAAGGGCAGAGGGTGGGGTGAGAACCGGGTAGAGGGGAGCTATGGGGGGAAAAAAGAGGAACAACTGTAATAATCTGAACAATAAAGATTTAATAAAAAAAAAATGTAGGGGAGTTCTTGAACCCTTGTGGCAGTCTGGTCCAGGTGAACTGCTCCTTGGGCCCTGTAGTTGGGTTTTCCCATTCGAAAGCAAAGAGAGGCTGACTGGAAGGTGCTAACCGAAGACAGAAAAAGGCATCTTTCAGATCTAGGCATGTAAACCATTCTGCCTCTGATGGGATGAGTCCCAGAAGAGTGTAGGGTTTCGGCAGTGCTGAATGCAGGGTTATAACAGCCTCATTAACAGCCCGTAGATCCTGCACGGGTGGTGGTCGTTATTCCCAGGCTTTTTGACAGGCAAGAGAGGCGTGTTCCATGGAGACCTGCATCGTTTAACAAGTCCCCACTGAAGCAGCCTTTCTAAGTGGACCTGGATTCCTAGGCGTGCTTCCCTTGGAATTGGATATTGGCGGATTTTAACAGGGTGTGCCCCAGGCTTGAACTCGATTAGCACCGGGGCGTGGTCCTTAGCCAGGCCTGGAGGATTCCCTTCTGCCCAGACCAGCGGGAATTCCTTCTCTAATTCAGGTTCTAATGGTGAGGCCTTTGACTTGGGCGGGTGTAAAGTCTCCATTCTTCCTCCCTCGGCACTGCTAAGGACAGGATCATTGGGGAGGTCTCCTCACCTAGGTGAAGCTGTGCTGAGTCATCTGGAGCAAAAGTGATTTCTGCCCCCATTTTTGGCTAAAAGGTCTCTACCCATTAGAGGCACTGGACAGTCTGGCAAGTACAGGAATTCATGAATTACTTGATGACCGCCAAGTTGGCATCGGCGAGGGCGGCAGAATGGTCTACGGGTCTGGTCCCCAGTAGCTCCAATAATGGTGACCTCCTTTCCTGAGAGAGGCGCTACTTTCTGAGTGACTACTGAGTGCTCAGCTCCCATAGCAACCATAAAGTCCACGTTCTGGCCCCCAATTTTCATTCTGACCATGGGCTTGTGGGGGCCTAGCTGAAGTGAGCCCGGTCTGTCCTAGTGGGAATCAGCCATTGCTAGCTCAATGAGATCTGCTTCAGGTGGCTCTGGTTGATAACAACTGGGCGGAAAAGGGGGCACAGTCTTCTTACTTTGCCGTTTGGGATATTCATTCTTCCAGTGTCCTGTTTCCTTACAATAGGCACACTGGTCTCATCTCAGGCTCACTCTTCCTTTTGCCCGTGGTCTGTATCCTTGCTGATCTGTCTGGGAGCCTGAGCCTCTAAAAGCCACTGCTATTATATTGGTCCTTCTTTGTGTGTTCTCTTTTCTTCCTCCTTCCTTGCTGCACTGTCTCGACTGGCTTCTCAGTTTTATCACCAGCCATTTTGCAAGATGGGAAAGAGCGAGATTGGTATTATTTCTTTAAATATTTGATAGAAGTCATTATCTGGAACTGGAGATTGTTATGGAGCAATTTTTTAAAAATAATGAATGCAATTTTTTTATAGAAATCTGATTAAAGACTAATCAGTTTAATGTCCATTTTGTGCCTGTCAAGGAATTTTTCTATATCATCAAACTGTTAAATTTGGTTTAAAGTTACTCATACTAACTATTATTGTTTTGATTCTTTAGGGTATTTCATTTTTAAAATTTCTGATGTTGGTAAATTATAATTTCACCCTTTGGTTTTTGGTCAGTCTTGTTATTGATTAATCAAATTTTTAAATCTTCAAATAACTAATTTTTTACTTTATTTTCTCTAGCCTACTGGCTTTCTATTTCATTGATTTCTGTTGTTTTATTTTCTTTCTTCTACTAACTTTTTTTTTATTATTTTGTTTTATTGCTTACAGTATTACAAAGAATATTACATATGTCTCCTTTTATTTTTTTTTTTCCCTTGACCTTCCTCCAGCCCCTTTACTCCCCAGTGTCTTGTGTCTATTGGTTATGCTTATATGCATGCATACAAGTCCTTTGGTTGATCTCTTACCTACTGGGCACATGCTCTGAATAGGAATCGAACTGGTGACTCTTTGGTGCATGGGACGATGCTCAACCAACTGAACGACACTGGCCAGGGCAATATTTCTTTCCTCGAAGTATATTTTATCTGCTATCCTCCATTCTATTTTGAACCTCTGTCAATCAAATTTTCAATAACATCTCTTCACCAAAACTGTTCCTGTCAAGATCACTAATGATCTCCATATTGTTAAATCCAATAGCAATTCTCAGTTCTTATGTTATTAGACTATAAAAAAAATCAGTTTTTCTACATAATAAAGATTATTCTAAGTCACATATTAAGACACAAATTCAATTAACACAAAAAAATTGTTAATGTTTAACTCCCATGGACAAACATTATAATACCTTTATAGATATTCAATATTATACTC